AAGTTAAAGTTTTATTTTTGAGAATTAATGTTTTTAAGGATGATGACAACATTAGAAGGTTTGTAGGTTTGCTAAATGAGTTTTGGGGGTGTAAAGGTCAGAAATTGGTTTTGCAAAAGTCATTTAGGAATCATGATAGGGCTAGATATTAGTGCAGGCCTAAAGTTAGGTGTGTTAAGATTGACATAAATGGATCCTTTTGTTTTAATCGCAAGGTGGCACCTATTGGTTTGTTAGGGAGAAATTGTGAAAGATAGTTTATGGGAGAGGTGGCATAAAGAGTTGAAGCTTCTTCAGCTTTTATGGTTAAATGCTTGGCATTGTTACATGCTTTAAATGTACATGACTTATTTATTGATAATGATACTGTGATTGAGATTGATTGTCAGGTGCTATATACTAAGATGATGAGGATGAATGCTTTAGGATGTGAATGGGGCTGTCTTGATATTTTGTAGAAGTATATGGAATTGTGTAAGTTTGATAGGAAGTATGGTTGGGCCTTAGTAGCTCATGAAGGCAATCAAGTTGCGAATTGGATTGCAGCTAAGGCATTATAGTCAAGGCAATCAAGGATGGCTTCATCAACTACCATCCTCTCTGAATTTGATTTTGATTGGAGACTTCTATGGTAAGTATGCTGTTGTTAAACAAAAGATGCATGTTGGTAAGTGTTTTAGTTTGGATCGAAGAATTGATCTATAGGTTGTATTTTTGTTTTTGTTGCTTTTCTTATGTTGTACCTTAGGCTTACTTGCTTTTATGTTTTACGGGTGAATTAGTGTGTGTATTTATATCCTTTGGTAATTAATAAAATGATATTGTTTTGCTAAAAAAAATGAGGGAGGGGTATATATTGGTCAATAAGAGCATAAATACTAGTAATATCTTTTTTAGGTTAAAATAATATCATGTTTTCATTATCCTTTGTTCCATTTCCATATCAAGATATGGGGAGTTTGGCCCAAATTTAGGAGTTGAAAAGCCTATTAGACTTGACAAAAATACTCCCTATAGTCTAAAGAAGGTTCCCCATCAAAACCCATTAATCCATCTATTTTGACCAATCGATTTATTTCACTGATCAATGCACTGGACAGTACCATGATATCCATTTATAAATTATAAAGAACAACAAATATTCAAGGGATAAAAACAAAGAAAGAAAGAAAGGAGCTAACTTGTTCTCATGAGATGAAATGGCCACAGCACCAAATCAAATACCATGACACAAATCAGACTGATAGGTAGGCTATGTACATTACCCAAAAGCTCGAACAATCTAATCCTGCTCAAGCCATTTGAGTACATTGGGCCAGGTACCAGGTAAAGATCAAACCATGGGTTGCCTAACTCAGCTTGAACATATACCATTTTTTGTAAATAATATTTATTTTATGATGTTATTTTTAGTTGAGAGTTATCATGAATTATATTATCTTTATAATCTTTTTTAACATTTCTTATCATTACAATTTTTAAATCTCTTTCAAAATTTAAAATTTATTTTTAACTTCATATTATATAAAAATAATTGATAATTGTCAATTATATGTAATTTAAAAAAATAATTTTTGATTATAATTAATTTTATAAAGATATATTTTAAATGAAAATAGTTATATTTTTTAAAATATTTTTTTAAGTGTACTTTTCTAAAAAAAATGTTTCTAAAAAGTTTTATGTGTCAATTGGGCCAAACTCAAACAAACACTAAAACATTAAGTTGATCCAAACTATACATCAAATTGATCACTAAACAAGAGTGATGTTTGACTTTAACCTACCCATGTGCAGCCCTATTGATAGGGAACAAAACAAGAAAGCAGATTATCTAGTTAGGTTCTCCTATGTTATGAAAGTAGCTTTAGTTTCTTTGATCATCATTCATCTCTTAATTCAGGGTGAAGAATAATAAAAGAGATCAGGTCTTAGCAGTTTTGGTTGTTAATACCTTGTATTTGTTGGTGTTTCATTAATAGATTTTCAATCTTTATTAAAGAAAAAAAAAAGAATTGGAAGGTCCCTGAGCCAAACATTATCATCCAAGGTATGCCCACGTGACACATTTGTTGTCACTCACAGACATTGGCCCATGGGTCTGTAATTCTTTGTTAGTGTGTTTGGTTTCCGATAGTTAAAAATCAGCTTTTAAAAGTTTATTTAATAAAAATTAATTTAATAAAAATTAATTATTATAATGAAATAGATGTTTAGATATTTTTTTTAAAAGTCAGTTTAATAACCTAAAAATTAAATAGATTATATATAATGAAAAGTACTTTTAAATATATAAATGCCAAAAAGGACATTGTTTTTCATGATTTATAATTTCTATTATACAAATGCTTTATATTAAAAATGTTTAAAAAATATATGTAATGAAAATTTTAAATAACATATAACTTGACATATGAAATAATAAGGATAAAAAATATAAGGTTTGATATATTGGATAAAAATTACGTAAATAGTTTAATATACATTAATATTAAAAATTAACATGATTAATTGTTTAGTTTACAATGTCTTGTTATAGTTTATTTCTCAAAAAAAAAATTTGTTAAGAATAGAACTATGATTAACTTGATCTGTAAAAAACTTACCTGTAATTTCTTTTTGTAATATAAAAAGCATAGGCAGTATGGTCAATTTCTTCTTGTTTATTTTTTACTCATTTTCTTGCCTTTTTTTTCCTGGTTGTTGTTCTATTTCTTTTTGTTTATGTGGTTGCTTTTGTTGTGACTTCTTGTTTTGGTGGAATGACGTGCATGTTTTGGGGGTTCTAGCAACAAAATTGTTGAAAACACTTTCAAAAAGCTACGTGAAGTCGTGTGAAATGAACTTCTAGAACTTTTTAAATACAATTTCAAATGAAGTTTGGAATAATTAGGAAATTAAACAACTTTAACATTCTTAAATTTTTAAAAATCCTTCCTGAATATGAAACAAAAGCAAACCAAATAGGCCCTTTAGTTCTCCTATAAATTTTAAATGTTAAAATATTGGCTCTTTAGTTACTTGCTTACTTGTTTAAAACCAGAAGTAATGGATTGGATCAGACCTAGTCTAATGGGGCAAAGCTTTTCAAGCTTCATATTGATGACTTTGTTAGGCAAAATGGTAGCATTGGATATGGAGAATCCTACGATACAAGAATGGTAATTGAATTTTGTGGTTTTAGCTGCAATTTATCGTTGGTACCTCCGACAGTTGCGAAACTTATTGGTATCATATAAAGATTACATTTATGCTAGGCAGAAGGCTTACATAAGATACATGTGTTTTCAAATAGCTTAGATACCACTATCCTTGTTCTAAATAGTTGTGATCGCAATTATGTTTTTAGAGACTTGGTTGATGAAACTAGAGCTTTTCTTTTTAGAGAAGGCTACATTATTTTCAATCACATAGATAGGGAGCAAAATAGAGATCCATCTCCTAACCTAATGTTGGAAGATGATGAAAGAGTATAGGTTTTTGGTCTTTTTTCTCGCTTGTCCTCGTTGATTTTGTATTTGTTCTCCTGGGTTATTGATGGTATTCAGTTTCCATTAAAAAAAAAAAAAGTATTGGCCCGCTCATGTACGTAGAAATTACTTCAACAAAACGTGTAAGTTGCCATAGAGCTTTTTCATTGCTTCATATTTATAAGAACTTGCTTTGAAATTGTTTACGTTATTTAATATAAAAATTACGAAAATTATGAAATATTTATTTATTTTTCTTCTAAATATCATGTTTCACAATCATAACCCTCACTTACGGTCTTACTTGAAAGAATAATATTTGACTTTATAATAGGAGTTATAGAATTAAATGAAGGGTATAATTAATTTTAAATTGTTTTAATATTTTTTATAATATCAAGAACATTAAATAATTTAAATTAGTTTTCAATTTATGTAATTCAGTTTAAGAGATGCTAGTTATAAATAGGAATAAAGGGATTATGATCTATCATTATAGTATTTATTAAAATACTATTTATAAGTTACTCTAGCACTTATTTACTTTTTAGGATTTTTTTGTCTTATAAAAAAGGATTTTTTTTTTGGTCAGGAATGCTGGTTGCTCCCTCTGTTTATATATATAAGAGAAAAAATTATATTACACAATTTAAGAAAGTTAATTAACCATAATAATTATATTTAAAAATAAAAAAATAGACTAAAATATCTTATGTTAATCAATATAAGTATGTATTTATTATTTCTCGTTAATGTAAATTAAGAGGGATAATTTAAAAAATGTGTAATAAATGCTTATTAAAATATGTAATTTTACTTATATAAAAAAAGTAAAAAATGATAGTTTTTCCTACAAATAAAAATAAAGGGAGTACTTTACAAGATGTTTGAGTGTTAATTATTTTTATTTTTTTATAATCAATTTTGCTTTTATACATAACTTCAGATTGCGGATCTACATTAAAGAAGCACTAATTTAACTGTTTCTACGAGATAAAATATTTAAAAAATATGCTTCATATGTCAAATTTAAGCGTTTAACGTATTTAATAAGTGAATAAATAACATTTTTTTAATGGAATCGAGAATAAGTCATTTAAGACAAATGTGTATATATATATATATATATATAGATCCACATGAACATGTTTTATAACTTGGGAAGAATGATAGATCGGTCTCAAAAAATTAATTAATTTAAGTTAAATTTTAAGTGTTAAATTTTAAAAATTTATAACTCAATCTTTCAATTTTATAATTACATTATGATGAATTTATAACTTATATTTTAAATTTTAATAAAAAAATAAATTTTTTATTCTTCAATCATATTAAAATTTAAAAAAATTATAAATTTATCACAACACATTTACAAAATTAAAAAATTAAATTATAAATTTTTTAAATTTAACACTTAAAATTTAACTTACATGTCTCTAAATTTTTTTTATCGTTTTCTTCGTGACTTGAATGAGCGAGAAGTGAGCAGGGGAGCAACTTGCGTGGTTTGCCATGAGATCTGGCTATTTATCCTTCCTCCTGTTTCTCTCTCTAATCAATCACAGCTCTCCTCTTGATCCACTTCTTCTCTCTCCCCCTCTCAAAATTCACTCTTTTCTAAGCCTCTTCCCAGAAACGCCAGTAAAAGAGGGGACAATAAGCTACCATGAATGGCACTGCCTCCCCAAAACTTGAGTCAGAAGCTTCTCCGCAGCTCAACGCAAAAGAAGCCCAGCCGCTCAAAAAACGGTGCGTTAAAGCTTGCCTTGGATCTTCAAGTCTGTTTTCAAATTCCTTTTTGTTTCTGTCATTTTTCCCCCTCATCAAATTTCTGGTATTGGGTTGTTTCGTAAACAAGTCCTGTCCTGTGCTTGTTGCAGGAAAACAGCGGTGAAAGTGAGAATTGCAGAGAATGTTGGCAAACTTAAGAACGAATGGCTGGCTTCTGATTCCTGGTCTTGGAGAAAATATGGACAAAAGCCTATTAAAGGATCTCCTCACCCAAGGTTTTTAAAATTTCTTTCTTTGAATCAAAGCATGTTTCAACCGAAAGAATAAAGCGAATTTAGTTCCTGTTCAGCTTACGTCAGTACTAGCAGCAAATTATTCATGTTCAATTAAGCATATCTACTTCAGATGTTGATTCTTTCCATCAGAATTCATCCATTCTCTCGTTTAGCAGAGGCTATTACAGGTGCAGCACATCCAAGGGCTGCTCGGCCAGAAAGCAAGTAGAGAGATGCAGAACAGATGCTTCAGTGCTCATCGTTACTTATACCTCTACTCATAACCACCCACCTCCTTATCGTCCCTCCAACCCTAATCTAACCCTCCCAGAAAAGTCCCAAGACCAGTCCGTTGAAGATCTTCCGGCGACCTCCAAAGTGGAAGACCAGGAAGAAAAGGAAAGGCGAAAGAGTCATGAGCCCACGACGGTCCCTGATCAGTGTGTAAACGAAGAAAATTTTCATTACTTGCAATCGTCAGTTCAGTGCTCTCAAGACATTATCACTGACCAAGACCATCCTTTCGAAATGAACCCAGAGAAAACTCACGGTAGAATAGATCTCCTCTTAGAGGAAGAGCTCCCGAGTGATTCTCAGTTCAAGAGCCCATCAGCACCCAAATCCGAAGAACATGACTTTTTCGATGAACTTGAAGAGCTGCCCATATCTGCACCTTTCTTAAACTTAATCAGGCGCAATTTCTCCGAGGAAAGGACTGCGGTTGCCCTTTCATGACTCTAAGTTTTTTTTTTTTTTTTGTTGAGGAGTTGCTGCCCGAAGAATGTAACTGAAATGTTCCTATGTACTACTACACCTGTTTCAGTTAGTGCTCGATTCGGAATCTTCTTTTTTAGTATTAGTATTTAGTATTGTTTTCTTGAATTTGTTGTTGCGGAGAGCGCACAGACATGGAAAGTGGATCACTTAGTCATGAGCAGAGTCAGTGGGCAGACACAATCCTGGGAGACTGGAAATAATGCAGTAGGTTGATGGGAAAACCCCAATATCTTTCTCTCTCACGCCAAAACACGCAGGGTTATTTCGGGTGGTGGAGCAAGAGAAAGGGAAGTAGTTGTCCTTTTAGTTTAATGACTAAAAGATAGCACAAGGTTCAGGGGTGAGTGCTCAAATATCATTTCAGGATAAGGTCTTTATTTTACTTGGGGTAACCTCAAGTGATGGTGGATGAGAGAGTGATGCTTTTTCGGCGGCCATTATTTGCTTACCTTTTCTTTTCTTTTCTTTTTTTTAAGTTTTGGGTTGCTTTCATGATCCTTTGGTGATTCATTACTTCATTTGGTGGAGGAGTACCTTAATCTAAAATAAACTTTTTGTTGGCAACCCTCGTGGATCGATAGGGATGTGTGGACGGGCCTCTCGAGAAAGACTAAGGTAGACACTCTTGTTCGTATATCCTTCAAAAGTCGAGAGATTCCATGTCACAAGATGCCAAACCCACAAGTTATCCTGTGTTGGTAATTTTGGTCTCATTCTCAAACATCCATTGTATATATTATATGTCTTCATCATTTTGCGGTTGCTAATATTCAGCTATTCTATTGGCTGCCCCTCGTACACCTCCCTCTTCCATTACGGATTTATAGGGCTTTGCACAGTTTTTTGGCCCTTCCTCGTACCTCGATGTGGATGGATTCTCCACCAAATTGTTGCACTGTGAGAAGAGTGCAAAAGAGTTTTTTTTTTTTTTTCCCCCGACAGGGTTAACGTAACACCCACCACCCAGTTATATAGAACAGCATATTTTATGAGCCGCTTAGATTCAATCGCTCAGTGCAAAAATATTATTTCATTCACTGGAAACGACTATATCTAGATCTTTCTTCTTCTGTAGCCGATAATGTCTTTTGAGCTTCGAGAGCAATGATAATGACCTTATTTATATGATTCCATATTTGTTGTCTTCTTCTGAACTCAATGAATCACGATCTGCAGCGTGGTTAATCTTCTCTAGGCCTTAGGCCTGTGATGCGAGAGATATCCATTCAGCCATTCAGGTTGGCTTTTATGATGCAACATTTTCATTTGCCTATGATCATGACCACCGATTAGTTTGTCTCATTGAAACTGCGTAAATAAAGAAAACCACAAAAGGAAAAATTAATCAACTGCTCCCTTCATCCCTAATTATGAAAGATCTTCTAGAACATTTTTTTATGGTCATTAGTATATTTTTTAATAAATAAACCATTATACATTTATTAAATTGAAAAGAAAAAAAGATAAGTAATCTCATCAATTTACCTTAAAAAAATTCATTTTTTATTTATAATAATTAAGAATAAAATTAAAATGTTATTGTGCTTTTAATTAAATAATCAACTTTTATCGATTTACATGATTTGATTAAAAATATTTTATATATAGAAACGGAAAAAGTATTTTGTTATAAGTCTCTCTTATAAGAGAGCTTCATAAGTGACTGTGATTTATGAATGTAAAGGTCCATCTTTCTTAATGCATTAATTTTGTTAGGATGAGCTCTCCTTTCTTAAACATGCTTTTCAAACACACAAGAAACTAAATTAATTTATATATATATATATATATATATATGTTTATTGAACTTTAAGACTATTAGATATATAATAGTCTCACATCAAGTGATAAGAAAATTAATCACAATAATATAAGTGTTTAGTGAATCTTTTGAAATAATTTAAGGTTATGTTTGGATGGGTAATTTGAAACAAAAATTTAGATTTTTAAATCTCATATTTGAAATTTATAAATTTTATATTTTTTGTTTGGATAATATAAAAATTTTAAATTATAATATTAAAATTTTTTTGTTTGAATCTTAAGTAAAATTTTAAATTTTAAATTTTATGTTTGAATTTAAAGGCAACTTCAACGACGTCGACAGTTCAGTCCTAATCAAGGTTGATGGTCCGATCTTGATCAGGGATGCCGGCCTAATCTCAATTGACATCGATTATCAAACTCTAGTCTCGATCGGCAACAACAGCCTGGTCTTAGTCAATATTGGCGATCCTATCCCTATTAGGGTAGGTGTTTCGATCTAGGTTGAAGTTAGCAATCTAGCTTCGATTAGCTCTAATGATCCAATCCTTATTGGTGGTTGTGGTCTGATAGCAATTGGAGTCAAAAGTTAGACACTAATCATTAGTGACAGTCTAGTCATAGTCGATGTTGATAGTTTGGTCATTAATAATAGATGGTGAATGTTCGATAACGTTTAGCGTTGACAGTCCAATCCTAGTCAATAATGGCAGTCCGGTCTTAGGTGATGGCAACAAATAGGCCTCGAACGATGTGCAGGAGTCAAATAATGCTAACTGATTAGCACGGGATGGCCATAGTAGTCCAAGGGTTGTGGATTGATCCTATATGACAACACTAGGTCATTCTCGATTAGCAATAGTGTTTGGCATTGGACGATGAAAGCAAATAGATCGCAAATGGTGATCACAAACCAATATCAGACGGCTACGATAGTGATAGACCGACATCGTTAGAGGTGACAAACCAATGCCAAACAGTAGTAGCAAATTAACATGAGATGACAGTAATAGATGGACAACAGATGACTACGGCGGTGGTGGCGAACCACCACCAGGTGGCAACAAAGGGCTATTAAAAGTGAATTAAAATTTAAAATTCCTAATATGTTACAAAAATTTGAAATTACAAAAACTACAGTTAAACATGGGACCACATTCAAATCCATAAATTTTCATGGATCTAAACAATATATTTGACTTAAATCTAAATTCAAATTCATATCCATCTAAATGTAATATAAACTATTTTGATACTTCCTCCGATTATTATTATAAAATACTTTCAATCGTTTCACACATATTAAAAAAATTATTTTTTCTTGATATAATAAAAAAAGTGAGATGTATTCAGTTTTACCTTTGTTTTTAAATAATAATACAACCACATTAAATACCTTTACCCTAATTAAGAAGAGATAAAATTAAAAAAAGTAATTTAATTATTACAAGATGTCCTATATTTTGAATAAAAAATTACTTCTAGAATGTATTTTACAAATAAGATCAAATGGAGTATATGTGACAAGCCTTTAGGTATAATTAACTCAACTATACAAGGGTGTGGTTAGCCATGATTCATGAATCACCAATCCATCACATTTGCATTTAGTGCTTATTACACCCGAGCGCTTATCATTATGTGGCCAAATCGTGGCCTTTCATTTTAACCTTAAATAATTTCAACCGTTCATTTTAAATTAATTTTTAAATATTTTAAATATTATATTTATTAATATAAAAATTATAAAAAAATCTTGATATTAAATCTGGGCCATCTTTTGTATTCATTCAAGAATGAGAACTATGATACTCATAATATTTGATAAGATCTAGACCATCTAAATTTAATTTTTTATATTTTTAATTACTTTATCAAAATAATTTTTTAAAAAATAAAAAAATTAATCAATTTGTTTATTATCAATCTAGCCAGTACAGATTTAATTTAAAAAGTCTAATTTAAAATTTTTTATAATTTTTATATTTTGACTATCTAAAAGTATTTTGAACAGTTCAGTTATAATCTAAATAACTCAATTTAATATTAAATTTTATTTTTTTTTACACATATAAATATACTCTAGACAATCCAATTTTGATATCAAGATTTTTTATTATTTTTATATTAATAAATATAATATTTAAAATATTTAAAAATTTATTTAAAATGAATGATTGAAATCACTTCAAACTGAAATGAAATGCCACGTAATGATAAGCACTTAATGCTCATCACACTAATAAGCACCAAATACAAACACCCTCCATCATGAACTTTTCAAAGTATGTTTTTAAGGAAAAGTAACAATAAAACCCCTTCAAATTATATAAATAATTATTTAATCTCTCAAAATATCATAATATCAATAAAATTTTTAAAAATCTTTGTCAATAACTTACTTAAAAAAAAAACATTTTACTCTCACTAAAAATAAGAAGACCCAATTATAACTTTTATTTTATAAATTATAAATTCAATAAAAAATCATAACTTATTAAATATAATTTTTATTATTAAAAAATAAATTCCAATCACAATTTTTATTTAAAAAATAATTTTCATTCTGTATATTACAAAAATTGAACGAAAACTCATAATTTATGAAATATAATTTTTATTATTAAAAAATAAACCCTCAAAGTAACAAACTTCATGTACAACTTTTATTTAAAAAATTATAACTTTTTTAAAAAAATTATAATGATTAAACAGAAAATCATAATTTATCAATAAAGATATAATCATTTGGTCCTTAAAAAAATTATTGACAAAAAAAATCTCCAAAAACTTCATTAATATTATAATATTTCAAAAAATCAAATTATTATTTACATATCTCAAAGAAATTTTATTATCATTTTAACTATTTTTAAACTAAAATATACCAACTCTTTAAAATTAAGATTAAGATTTTTATTTTTATTTTTTTGTTCCATCGGATACCTTGGTGGGGACACTTCAAATGTTCTGCGCCACTACGGTAAAATCGCTTTCAACAACTTTCTCGTAGTTATTGTAGCTACAACGATAATGAATGATGCTAAATAGTTCACTTCTAGTTCAACAAATGCTATAAACTCTAACCCTTACCAGCTAAATAAGATGTATGCTACCCACGTTGTTTATACCACAACCCTCAACTGCGCAAATGGACATGCAGCAGATGGCTGATACAAAGCGTAAACACCAACGGCCCATCCAATCCAGGTATCCAATAAATCGTTGGCAACATCAACAGATGGTTGCAGCCGTCAACGTCTCCTGGACTGCCTTGTAGCACTGCAGACTGCAAAGAGGAAGCTTGGACTTTGAATCCCGATACTTGTACGGGTTGGCGCAAGATGGACCCGCGCATTTCTCACGCGGAGGTGGATAACTGAAACAATTACCAAATGATATTATCATTTAGAGGATGTTTCCAATGAACTTGGACAGATGAGAATCTCCATCTCCTCGCCAACATTGGTTGCCAAAATCATGGAAAATTCATTCAAATTAGCTAAAGGATTGGTACCTGGAGGGTTTGGAGCTGAAAATGCTTGGCAGGCCCATCTCCTCAGGAAAAGTAACAAGCGTTCCAGCAGGACCCATCACATATCTGATGGTGTTTGATGCGAGCATCTGCGCATTAGCTGCCTTCTCCTGCAAAGAATCAATACAACGAAAATTGAAGCTGCATAGAAAATTAAAGTAGTGAGTAAAGATCCATTACTGCTGCCAAACCTGTGCCAGTTCTTCTTGGCGTTTCTTCATTTTCTCTTCCCGTTTCTTCCTGCTGGAGTCTTGACCAAGTATTTTTCTGATAGCTTCAGCCTACAAAATGAATTCACATGAGCATTTATATTTTCTTGATATCAACCATAACAGAAAGTTAACAGTACTTTGGACGGATTAGAACAAACCTCAGATTCCCTAGCAGCCTTCTCAACTTGCATTCTACGCCTCTGGGCAGCCTCAGCTTTCTTTAGTTGCTGCTCCACCTCTGAAAGCTTTTCTTTTTGCTCTGCATTTGCAGAATAGCAACATGAATAAAGCTGAATAGTATAAAACAACAAAATGACATGAAGGCAAACAACACCAAACGCAAGACAACTTCTCACTTCTAGGTGGAGCAGGTGGTAATCCATTAGGAAACTCAATTAAACTTGCACCGTATACAGATGCATCTTTGCTTGATTGAAGAGCCCTTTGGCGTGTAGTGAGAGTCATTTCCCTCTTACTATCCATCAACACATCAACAGATTCCTTCTTCTGCTTTCTCTTTTTCTTGTGCTCAGGCTCAACATCAGACCCAGAATCCTCATCTTCCTCATAATCCGTATCTTCGTACATTCTATCCGATGTGGACTTGCTTTTACCATCTTTGACTGACCTTGATGAGGCAGTAGTTTCCATATCAGAGACACTAGACAATTTTCGATGTTTCTTGCTTACTTCTTCTTCATCTCTATACACTGCAGAAACTTTTGTCGTTTTGAGCTTTTCCAAATAGCGAATCTCGTCGTCGTCGTCATCACCACCGAATTCACCATCCAACACACGCCTCTTTGGTACTCGCTTGCTCTTACGAATTGGTTCAGTCTTGTCACCTTGCTTACTGGACGTGTTCTTTCCTGACATCTTCCCTATCATAGAATCCACCTTTCCAACACCAAACCCTTCCCTTGAGAAATTCTTCCATGGAATGCCTTGTAGGCCACTCCTCTTATCTGAAGGGGACTGGTTATCATCTGAATTTCCCTGCAATAGCAGAATTTAAGAGATAGAACAGCGTGCTATAAATAATAAGAAACCAAGACACCAGATACCGTTCCATAAAAGCAAGATTTAAATACTTAATTGAATTGGTAAGTCCACATAGTTAGCCAAGATAAGGCGCGCTCAGCTTTTCTTTTCTTTTCTTTTCTTTTTTTTTTTTGGTTTTGCCTGAAGATAAGATGTGCTCGGTTTAAACTTTAAATACTCAATTGACTGGTTCTGTAGAAGCTAGAGACCCAGTTAGGAACACCCATGCAAGGTAGAAATGCTAAGGAGTAAGCTAGAGTCAAGAATGATGACTGAAACTATAATCATTTCCAAGTGTGAAATACCTGTTGCTTTGGGCGTGGTCTGTAGACATCTGACAATTGGGAGCTCTTTGCAGTGGTGCCACTGCTTGATGAACCATTAGGAGTAGAGTTAGCTTGGATCATACACATTACACCACCAACCCTGAGTTTAACCTTTTTGACCCTGTTATCATTCTCCGAGCCATCCTGAAAAGCTCCTGGTTGCCCCAAGTTCATACTATATATATCTGCACCTCTTGATTCTGATTCAAAGCTATCCTTTGATTTGCTAGAGCCTTTCCAGTTAGCAGGAGCAAGGACACCCTCGCTACGCCGCTTGTTATATAAAACATGTCCAGGTTCATTATTGAAAAACAAATGGAATTCTCCATCCGTTCTACTCTTCTTCCAGAGTTTATCATCTTCAGCTGCAGCAGCAGAGGGGACACTGGAAACATAATGGTTGAGATTAAATTCTTTTCTCTTAGGATTATTATCACAACCACTATTCTCATCACTAGAGGCCTTGCTTGCATCATCTGAAGGTGTTGATGATAAGGGAGATGGGCCATCAGAAATGGGCTGTGAATCTGGCCGAGGCCGGCGAGAAGTTTGACTGCGTTTCTTCCTTGCTGCACTGCCAAGGCCATCAAATCGGGTACCACCTAAATCTTCCATTAATTAATTGTTTCTACGGCACAGCTTCACTGGTACTCTTTCAGCTACCACCGAGATGACAAAATAGACACAAACATCTGGTAATTATCAAAATTTCTGCTGCAACAGAATAAAAATAAACCATCAGTAACCACATTAGCAATTCTTGAGAGATGACTAGAGTGAAGTTATCACCCAAGCTTCGTAACAAATTACTCTACTTAAGACATAGCATCCACATACACTGTCTAATACGTTGTCTTTTCTTTGTCATTGTGAAGTTATCTTGGAAGGAGTGTACCTTTAAATTGCAAAGAAAAGCATGGAACTAGAAGAACTGAATAAGCTATGCCAACATTGGCATGGTGCTCCAAAAATCACCACAGGATAAGCCGCAATAGCTAAAACAAAATCCAGGCAGATTAAAAGGAAATTGGAGAGGATTTTAATCGTAAATTTGTAATGTAAGGTGCAATCAGGTATCCAATCAACGGAAAGAGGCACCAAGAGAAAAAAAACCTAGAATTCAACGAAGTGGCGCCGAAATCCATGGCCACGAAACATAGAAATCTATTTCGAAAAATAAATAAAAACTAATTAAGCAACAATAACTGAATTCAAAAACATGCTAAACCTAGAGTAAACAGACTAACGTCTTCGCAAAACCAAACATTAGATGAGTGAACGGCTCCCTCATTCGGTCATGGTGATAGCTCGTCAATCAAAAATAAAATGAACATGAAAAAGGCATCCATCGTAAGCTGCATAGTAAACAATGGACATCTATACACCAACGAATTATATCCTTTGCCAAAACCAACCAAACGTAACAACGAGAGCGATTCGATTACCTCTGATGTCGAATAGAATTCCAGAAACAGACCGTCCGTCGAAGATCAGGATCGCAAAAACGTTGCGATAAAGACGACGACGGAAACGGAAGAACGCTAGAAACAGCCAACCCTGAAGCAATTGACTGGGCTGCGCGTGAGAAAATATGACGGATTCGCGTCTGTTGGTGGTAGAGAGGGCAAAAGGAAAGGCGATATATGAGATAGAGTTGGATTTGGGGTTTAGGGTTGGAACAATTTGATGACAGAAATGAGAACAGATGAGAGAGAAAGAAGGCGCTGCTGGTTGGAAGCGAGAGATGACTAATGATCTTTTTGTTCGCCATTTTTTGTTTGATGGGGTCACCCGACTCGACTCGGGCTCGCTCGCCGATCTTAACTCGCTCCTCTTTCTCTGTCTATCTCTTTCCCTCTCTCTGCCCCCGCTCTCTTTCCTTTTATTTTCTCTCGCCTTCTATCTACACACGGTCTTGCTGCAAATGTTCGCGCAAGTAAAAGAAATGCACGCCTTGTCGCGTATATTGGACATTCTTCTCTTGATGGTTCATCTCTTTCGGGACACGCGTCACATCCTTACACGCTACAGTTCGTCCAATTTGGATCCTGGACAGTGAAAACGCTGAAATGCCTTGTGGGTGACGTACCGTTTCGTCGTTCTTTTTCCCCCCACGTTTTTTGAAGGCCTGAATTTTCATCAATCTTTTTTTTTTTTGATGACGTGAATTTTCATCATTCTGGAGTCTGAAGTTCTTTACTTCTGTTCTTCCTCAACACTTCGCACATTTGACCAAATAATAGTATTTACACAAATTCTGTCCATTTATTCAGTTCTCGATTAAAAAAATAATTTTGCTCTGCCTTTTTATCAATAACGAAAACCTTTAAAAAAAATGGGGATAAAAATGTAGGCCTCGGAGCTTAAGATACAAAAACTCTCACTTTCCTTATCCCTGCTACTCTAAACTGGTCAGTTACTCTCCAAATTTATTTATCCTTAAAATATTTTCCCCAATTTAACTGAGAAATTTATTTGGAGCATAATTTAACTTAGATTTTTTCAAAATTTTATACATTCTTTTAAAAAATGCCCTATGTCATGTGGCTATACAATGCATTATTATTGATTCAAACAAATATATTTATGATTTATCTCGTACCGTTAATTTGAAAATTCAGATTAAAACTTTGATAGCTTTAATATCACTTTTAAAATTCGAACGAAAGATAGTAATTTTAATTTTTTTTTTTTAATGCAGTGGCAGACTATTTTAATATTTTTAAAGTGCAACGCGTGCATCCTAGCGACTTAACTCACAGTCACCCGCAAGCTTGTCAGACTATGTATGGTACAAAATGCACGTAATTTGTTTTTTAGTTAGATTCATATAATTACGCGTAATAATATAATTTAAAAAAGAACTTAAATTTTAAAATTTCAAAATAACACTTGATTATCCAATGAGGGATGAAATGTAATTAAATTTCATTGCAGCGTCACTGCTTGCTTGTGAAAGCTGTAGTTTTTCTTTTTGAAAAAAAAAAAAAAAAAACCCTCAACTGTGTGCAACACGAAATTATATAGTCCACGATTAAAACTGATGTATTGCGTCGCATGTGTCTGGTCTTTCCAGAACAACAAATATAAAAGGATGATAAGAAACAACACAGACGAGTGACAACAAAAAAGACTCATTGACGGTGCAGGTCCCGAGCATGTGCAGGCTCCTCAATCAATAAGGCGAGGTTTCGCCGGAAAGATGCATGAGGATGGCCAAGCAATTACCACCCAGCTGGAACAGAGTCTTGGAATCCTCCGGGAAGGGAATGGACCCTCCGCCCTCCTTGAAAGCATCTTCACATGCCTGTTGGTACGACAGCACCGCCGCAAACTTCATCCAGGCACCGTACACGTCGTTCTGCTTGATGGAATCCAAACAGTCATTTATAGTATCCACAATCGATGAGTACTGGTCCGCGCATATGTCTAGTGACGCTTTCTCGTCTTTAGTAGTTTCTGGCTTGGCGTGCAGCGTCTTGATAGTATTAGAGACCTTCACAGTGATGTTCATGGTCGCCCCCATTTCGGCCTTAAGGGCCACCACGGGGTCAAGTGCGCCCTGGATGAATGGCGCGATGGTGTCCACGCACAGAGTTGGCGACTCTGCGTCTTGGCACAGCGCCACTAGCTGAGCGTTGTGTTTTGACGCCACTGTGTCAACTGCGTTGCCAGCGAGGTCGAGGACTTGCTTGTCGGAGGGAGATGGAGCTGGGGCTGCCGACGGGAGCTCTCCCAACAGTTTGTTGCGATGAGAGGGAACGGCATCATTGCCGGAAAGGAGCGAGCAACAGATCAGGGGAACCACGAGGATTATTTTTCTGCTAAGCGCCATTGTCTCTATCTCTTTTATTAGAATATTATGTTCAAGAGCAGAGACAAAGGTTGGAAAGCCTCGCTACTCCGATGCCTTTATATGGGAAAATACACCTGTGAAAAGTTTACTGAAAATAGTGACTGATTCTTGTTTCTCTGATATAAATTTAGCACTTCAAAACAAAAATGGTGGGTTCGTGGTTCCCATCTTGTCCATGGTTTTCGTTCCAGTGCAATTCACCGCCATGTTCGGAGACTGAGGTCTTGACACGATCAAGTTAATGGGATGATGTGACCTTTTAAACTATGCCCCTAGTCATTTTGCAATTCTCGCCTTTCTTCGTTCAATGCAGAGTAATACAACAAACGAGGCAGAAAGCCCTGGACAAACAAAACAGATGCGGTGAAAATAGGGGTCAACACCCAGGGCTATTATTACGTTAGGACACAATGCAAATTCCAATATCTATTTTGAACCCATGCTTCTTGCCGAAATTAATAACAACATTGTCTTTTTTGCTTGCAAGAACGCAATGGTGTCATCAGTACGCATTAAATGAGTGATCCTCGTGAATTTCTTGCGGTGCTGGTTTCTCTTGAGTATACGAAATTAAAGACGACAAGTGGACAGTGTGTTGCACCGACACGCCATCAGACCAAAAGTGCAAGTCCCCTCGGAGATGATTACTGTCACACTCAGCGAATGCGCTGATACAACAAAATTACTCTATGTTTACATATACATACTCTGTTCAGTCCTATTAATAAGACTTATTCTCATGATACTCAGGGCAAGATATTTTACAAAAATTAATAGAATTCTCATGACCCAATTTTAAAAATATTATGTTCACTAGTCTCACCATTTATCTCATCTCAACATGATTAATGATAATTTTGAAAAATTAAAAAAATGGACACTTGACCATTTGAAACTAATTTTATTAATCTATATAAAGCAGCCTGCGAATCCTTACAATTGTTTGGCGAAAAAAAGGGTATCGTAAGACATGCTAAAAATGTAGAGTCTCAAAAAGATAGAAGAATTTGATTTTTAATTAAGTGCGAGGAACCTAAGCTCTATCACTACAGTTCATCTGGATGTAAAAATGTGGTGTAAAGAAAATTAATGTAAATATAAAAAGCAAAATTTTTTAAACAAAGAAAGAGGTGGTGGGTTATGTCGGCTATACAATAGAAAAGTAAAAATTATAATTACATGATAAAAGAAAAAATAAAGCAGTAGACGGAAAGTCTAAAAATTTGACCAATAGTTTGTTAATGATGATGATCCTTCTTTGATGAGAGAGGGCTTCTCCATTCACAGATGATCCTGGTTTAGTGCTCAAGTCTCATGATCACCATTTTTCTTAAATTTAAAAAGTACTTACTCTATTGTAGCCAATTTTCCAACTTCCATAATTCAAGCATCATAGATGGAGTGTGGAGATAGTGGCTCAAATCCAATTTTTACATAGTGGCTAAAGCTTATGAATAATTATTTTTAATTATTTTAAGATTGATTAAGTTGAGTTAAGACTGAGTTTTCAAATTCATAAATTGAGTTGAAATAATAATATAAATTAGAGGAAGTATAATTAAATTATGTCAAAGATCAAGTCTACAAGATTAAGCATATTCTCCCACAACATGGCTTAAAAAAGTCAATTATCTTGACTGCCTGCCAGCGTAAAAATAAAAAATGACATAAAGTACATCTTAAGAATAACAGCCTTTCTCGTGCATGATCATCATCGCTGCTCTGTAACTGGGGGACAAAACGGGCCTTGCCATTGGTTCCCTGACTATTAAAGTACTGGGCTCAGGCCCAACATCTTGCCTCTCAGTCCCAGTTCGAATACAGCCGCCTACCCAAATAATCAAATCAAGCTCGATCCGCCGTCGATCGTCAACTGCCCCTTTTCTGCAGTCGGCCACCGTCGTTCCCAAAACAAGGCGCAAGCGTAACCTTTCACTGTATTCAAAGACAGGAGCGCCCTGGCTATTGCTCTCAAACTCCGGTCTTGTTAAAGTGATTTCCCTAAATTCTATATTTCCCTGTCTGCGCGAGCTCTTTCTGCTGCCTGCGGGCTCTGTTAGGGTTTGTGATATCTATTTGCGCGAGCAGGTATTGGATACCCTTCAACACCGAGGCATGTCGAAGCGGAAGTTCGGGTTCGAAGGCTTTGGCATCAACCGCCAATCGACCTATAATTTTGAGAGATCTCAAGCTCCTCAGCGACTGTATGTTCCTCCTTCATCACGTCACGGGCATGACAATTACGAGGATACTGACCTTGACAACATCGAATATGACGATAATGATGCTCCCAAAGACGGAAACAATGGTAATGACAGCAACAACAACGATATTGATCCCTTGGATGCTTTTATGGAAGGGATTCACGAGGAAATGAGAGCCGCGCCGCCTCCACAGCCGAAGGAAAAGGCAGAGGACAGGTATAGAGATGATGATGAGGACGACCCGATGGAGAGTTTCTTGAGGGCGAAGAAGGACGTAGGGTTGACCCTGGCGTCCGAGGCTCTGCACGCTGGATATGACTCCGATGAGGAGGTTTATGCAGCTGCGAAAGCTGTAGACGCGGGAATGGTAGAGTATGACTCTGATGACAACCCCATTCTTCTTGACAAGAAGAAAATTGAGCCCATTCCTGCTCTGGATCACAGTTCGATTGAGTACGAGCCCTTTAACAAGGATTTTTACGAGGAGAAACCTTCAATATCAGGTAATTGAACAACACTTATTTTGTGTGGCCAAAACTTGTGATTGGATTTGAGGTCAGTTCCTTGAGTTAACGTTCGCGCATATCGTTTGTTGTCATCCTTGAATTGAATTTCTGCATGTCACTTTTCGTTTGGGGTTTGAAATTTTTCTCCATTTACACATCAATCCAGTTATTGGCTACATGGAGGCTTTTGAAATAAAGGATGGCTTAGCTTAAGTACAATTATTGCTTCCTTCATATTTATCGCCCCCATTTGAATTTATATGCGTTAACTGGAGTTGGAACCGCCGATGACTCTGTTGTTAACCTACTCTAGGTATGAGCGAGCAAGATGTTTCTGAATACAGGAAGAGTTTGGCCATTCGTATATCAGGTTTTGATGTTCCGAGGCCAGTTAAGACATTTGAAGACTGTGGTTTCTCTCCACAACTTATGAATGCCATAAAGAAGCAAGGCTATGAGAAGCCAACATCAATACAATGCCAAGCTTTACCAGTTGTGCTTTCTGGCCGGGATATAATTGGTATAGCAAAAACTGGTTCTGGTAAAACTGCTGCCTTTGTCCTTCCTATGATTGTACATATCATGGACCAACCTGAACTTCAGAAGGATGAAGGTCCAATAGGAGTAATCTGTGCTCCCACTAGAGAACTGGCGCATCAGATATATTTGGAGGCCAAGAAATTTGCGAAACCCTATGGGTTACGCGTCTCTGCTGTCTATGGTGGAATGTCAAAACTTGATCAGTTCAAAGAACTCAAGGCAGGCTGTGAGATAGTTGTTGCTACCCCTGGCAGATTGATAGACATGCTGAAAATGAAGGCACTTACGATGATGAGAGCAACTTGCTTGGTGCTTGATGAGGCTGATCGGATGTTTGACCTTGGATTTGAGCCACAAGTAAGGTCCATCGTTGGTCAGATCAGGCCTGATCGCCAAACTTTACTTTTCTCTGCGACAATGCCCCGTAAAGTTGAGAAGTTGGCCAGGGAAATTCTTAGTGATCCTGTTAGAGTGACAGTTGGGGAGGTTGGAATGGCAAATGAAGACATTACTCAAGTTGTTCAAGTGATTTCTTCTGATACAGAGAAATTGCCATGGCTTCTTGAGAAGCTGTCTGGAATGATTGATGAAGGTGATGTCTTAATATTTGCTTCCAAAAAGGCTGCTGTGGATGAAATTGAATCACAACTGGCACAAAGAGGCTTTAAAGCGGCAGCTCTGCATGGTGATAAAGATCAAGCTTCTCGAATGGATATCTTACAGAAGTTTAAATCTGGTGTATACCATGTTCTTATTGCAACTGATGTTGCTGCTCGTGGTCTTGACATCAAATCAATTAAATCTGTGGTAAACTTTGATATTGCAAAAGATATGGATATGCATGTACATCGCATTGGTAGAACAGGTCGTGCTGGTGACAAGGATGGGGTTGCATACACTCTTATAACTCAGAAAGAAGCACGTTTTGCTGGTGAGCTGGTTAATAGCTTAATAGCAGCTGGTCAGAATGTGTCCATGGAGTTGATGGATCTTGCTATGAAGGTAATTTTTTTTCATTGGTAATGTTATTTAGTTTTATGAATTTTCATTGACATCTATGGAACTGACCTCATGCTTGCAGGCACACTATTTAAATATATGTTGTGGTTCATATTATTGTGGGCTTTGTAGAGTCTCATGTCTGACATTTCTTTTATATCTGGGTTAGAGATTGGTTTGCTTGTGTTTTTAGTAGCGTTTTGAGTGTACCGTTCATGATCTACCATTTATTGTGTGTATGATAATGCCACATTTGCGTGCCACAAATTGTCATGATTGATTTATGTAGTTTTCTTGACTGTATCCTAGACTTGAAGTAGTGCCAGTCATGATAGGTCTTGAGGAACCGGTGTAAAGATACCACATTATGGTTTGATGCATCAATAGGCCCGTTACACGTGAGGCTAGACTCTTTTAATGGTTTCAGATGTAAGCTTAGATTGTAATGCTTCTTATTGCATTTGCACAAGTATTATTGAAAATGAAAGGATTTTGGCAGGGTTAGCTTTGTTGTAGAATGGGCTACATCAGGGATCATCTCTGAGTCCTTATTTGTTCAACTTGATTTTAAATGTTTTGACGGAACATATTCAAGAGGAAATCCCGAAATGTATGCTCTTCGCGGATGATATAGTTCTTATAGCAGAGACAAGAGAAGAGGTTAATTGCAAACTTGAGTTATGGAGGAGGACATTGGAGTCGAAAGGTTTTCGTCTGAGTAGAAGTAAGACGGAATATTTATATTGTAAATTTGATAAAGGACTATTCGAAAATAATTTGGAAGTGAAATTGGGAGATCAAATTATACCTCAAGTGGAAAAGTTTAGATATTTGGGAGCCATTATCCAAAATGATGGCGAAATCAGTGGAGATATTTCACATAGAATTCAAGCTGGGTGGTTTAATTGGAGAAAAGCTAAAGGAGTTATTTGTGACCGTAAGGTGCCTAATAAACTTAAAGGAAAGTTTTATCGTACTGCTATCAGACCGGCAATGTTATATAGTAGTGAATGCTGGGCTCTAACGGGACAGCAAGAGCATAAAGTTGGAGTAGCAGAGATGAGAATGTTACGATGGATGTGCGGACATACACGTAAAGATAAAATTCGAAATGAGCACATACGTGAAAAAGTGAGGGTGGCACCTATTGAGGAAAAAATGGTTGAAAATCGGTTGAGATGGTTTGGGCATGTACAAAGAAGACCAAGGGAGGCACCAGTGAGAAGAGTGGAACATATAACTTTGAGTCCGATTAAGAAAGGTAGAGGAAGGCCTAAGAGAACACTCTTGGAAGTTGTTGAACGTGATCTCTTAATTAATAATATTTCTAAAAGCTTAATAAATGATAGAGCACAATGGCGTCTTGCAATCCATATAGCCGACCCCACCTAGTGGGATAAAGGCTTGTTGTTGTTGTTGTTGTTGTTGTTGTAGCTTTGTTGTAGAATGTTGAGTGATTGAAGTTTCTAAATGAGGCCATGCAATTTGGCAAGACTTGGGAAGGATAAGATTGTGGAGAGTGTATGAATTATCGTTTCAAATTTGAGCTAGAGGACAAGAGTTTACCATTAAGAAATAATATTGGGACGAGCATATCAGTACAAGTAGTTGCTCTATGGTGCTCCCTTTTTTGTGTACGCTAGAGTTGTAAATTAAATCACAAGTAATCAAATCAATGTTTGATATCAATTTTTGGCTACTTTAGCTTTGTTATATCAGCAATTTAAATTGCCATTTCCAATCCATTAAAGATTTTAGCTTATTAGAGGTAAAGAGTTTGATGGGGAAGAGTATATACATAGTTGATTGTTCCCAACTTCCATTAGACCTCAAGCTTATTTCAAATGAAAGGCTAGTCTGTGACACTCGCTGTGTCTTCTGTTGGTGGTTTCACAAGCTCTTCATTGATCTTAAGTATGCTATTTGCAATCATGTAATTATTATGATTGGCTTGTGCATGCTGGTGATTTGATGTGCATGCTTGTCAATCTGGGTGCTGTTGGGATTTGGTGCTTGGATGTTTTGAAGAGCATTTTGTGCCCTGGCGCTTGTTTTGTGATTTGCTTTTATTAATTTACCATAGAGTACCGTTATCAATGCAGCCGCATGACTGCCATACCATCACGGCATGGAAAAAGGTCAAGGGATTTCCATTGTGTGGTGACCTTTATATTAACTCTTGATCTTGAATGGATGTCAATATTTTCTTAGTAGCGTGCAAGCTATTTTTTGCTTTTTTGTTTTTTTATTGCCATCTGGGTGTCTATCAAACAAGACCTTGTCACTCGGCGGTAGCTTTAGACGATAAGGATGAGATGGGGCATGGATAGTGTCCAGGATTCAAATGCTCCATTTGTCCCCCCCCCCCCCCCAAAAAAAAAAAAAATGAGACCTTTGGCAGACCTTTTGCTGTAGGTATGCATTATGTGTGGGCTTTTACCTATGATATATTCTACAGCAAAAAAGGTCAATATTAATTATGTAATTTTTTAAAGGTTGTCATGCATATTCATGGTGGAGGTGTGGTGGTTTTGTGGCTTCCTGTTATTTGTCGCTGCATACCATTTACAGCACTGTCTTAGTGGATATATTCTCCCAACTGCAAACTCTTCTCTTTTCTTTGAATAGAAGTTTCTTTATTTTGTGAAAGAATGGAAGAAATTTAAATGATTGGTAAACCATTACTTGTATGTTTATCCGCATCATTGCATGCCGTTCCAAATAATGCTAATTGTCTTAACACTTTCTTACTGTCATATTGATTCATTTAAGATGCTAAAAGCTTTAGATTTAACACATGGTCTTGAATTAGTTAATGATGTTTATCTTGTAAATCATTAGGATGGGAGATTCAGGTCCAAACGTGATGCAAGAAAAGGAGGTATGACTTTATAAGATGATGTATTATGCTTTATAAGATAATAAATGGTTTGCTCAAGATCAATTTCACGTGGCAGTAAACATTTGATGCACCTGTTATGAGCTGCACTATCTGTTTTTCTTTTTTAAAGCCCCCGAGCAGTAGAACTACTGATTTTGCCAATTTCTCTGCTGAGTAGTGATTAACACGTCTTGGGCAGGTGGGAGAAAAGGTAAGGGGAGGGGAGGGGGCGGTGGTAGAGGCGTGCGTGGAGTGGATTATGGCTTGGGTATTGGATACACTCCGGAGTCCAATAACCCTTCGCCTAGCACAACAAGTCGATCTGCCGCTGTAAACTCACTGCGGACAGGGATGATGGCACAATTTAGGAGCAACTTTGTTGCTGCTTCATCAAACTCTCAAAACGAATGCTTCAGTAACAGTACAAGTATGCCTGCTAATAAGAGACCCGCCCTCCCTGGCTTCATATCTGGTGGGTCAATTGGTGGCGGTGCAAATGCTAATCATCAGACTCCTGCTTCATCCAGACCTGCTGCTCCGGCTGTAAATGCCAGCATTCACAACTCTGGAGCTGACGCTGGCCAGAGGAATACCGACAGGTTTCTTTCTGATCGGAACTTAATTGCAGGCTAATTTTTATTTGGAGGACATTGGATTTGCTGATCAAGTTCTTTTCTTTTGCTGCAGCTCCAGGCCTAGAGAAAGGAGGAGGCCTTCAGGTTGGGACAGATAGTGTATTACTATTCAAGGACACCCTCACTGTCACGTGTGAATGTCTCTGTAGTCTAGGTCACGTCCTTCTATGATGCCTGTGTGTCATTAGTTTGCTACTTTCAAATAATTCATGACGAGTTTGTAAAATTTGTGCATGTAAAAATAGATCAGGATTTCAATAGTCAGTAACTAGTGGTATTGAAATTGAAATTAGGAAAAATGCATTATCTGCTAAATTAACGTTATATTACAGAATTATAGTAATATGGATCTTTGAACATAGCGGAATAGTTTTAAGGAAAAATTAATTATTTAATTCTTGTAATTTTAATTTAATTATAATTCAGTTTTTGAATTTTAATTTATTATAACTCAATTCTTAAAATCTTAATTGGATTGTAAATTAATTTTTGAATTTTATCTCTTGCAATTTAGTTTTTAAAATTTTAACCTCTTAAATACTAATTTTTATATTTAAAAAAATAAAATTATAAAGATTAAAAATATTTTAAAATTTATTATTAATATTTTAAATTATTAAATTATTTTTAATTTTTATAATTTTATTTTTTAAAATATAAAAACTAACATAAAAGAGGTTAAAATTTTAGAAATTAAATTGTAAGAGATAAAGTTTGAATATTGATTTTTAACTGAATTAAAATTTTAAAAATTGAGTTATAACGAATTAAAGTTGAGAAAGAAAGGTATAGTTAGGTCAAAATTATAAAGATTAAATAATTATTTTTTTATTTTCAATCTTTGGACTTGTATAACTAATTCTTATAACATGGCTTTAAATATTAATTTATTTTTTTCTAATTGAAAGTTTGTTAGTGCTTTGTAATTTGCATTATATTTTTATATAAAGTGAACACTAAAGTTCATCGTGTATTAAATTTAAAGATTATACCTTATTAAATGAAAAGAAAATTAATCTTTTAGTTTTTTAATTTTTAACTTACTTATAATTTAATTTTTTAACTCTTGACTTGTTTGTGATTTAATATTTTAATTTTTAATTTATTTATAATTTAATCTCTCAACTTTTATTAACTCTTTTTTTCATGTTAGCTTAAATCTTACATCAAAAAGTAAGAGAATGATATTTTAGAAAAAGATATGAGTATTTATTTAATCCTTCTTATTTGATAAGGACGATTTAAAAAAATTAAAAAGTAATGATTAAATTATAATTGGATCAAAGTTTGAGGGATCGAGTTATACTGAGTCATAATTGAGGAATTAAGTTGCAATAAATAATAATTGAGAGATTGAGTGATAAATAAGTTAAAAGTTAAAAGATTAAAAAATTAATTTTCTTTAAAATAAACTAGGACAATGTTAGGGGATTTAGAAAAACTGCAGTAATGAAATTCCTAAGAAGACCATTCCAATTTCCAAATTTACTTATAGGTAAGATTTCTACCCCATTGAGATTTTAGATGTAAACTTCATGATATCCAACAAGAGATTTTTGTAGTCTGCAAACTGTTTAGCCTTCTTCAAATGGAATCTAGCTGGTTTTGTGTGAACAAAGACCAGGGTTAAGTTGAAAAAAGCCCGGCTCGAAGTCTGCAAGATCTGTAATCCATCTGATGGAGTGGCCAAGATTTTCCAGAAGCATTATTTCCTTCTGAGATAGGATTTTTTTCAAGGAAATGAACATCATGGAAAATCAAGATCCTGCAAAGACGAAAATTTCTCGTTTCCCTTTACCCATCCTATTCTAGGTGTAGCTTCATTAAGCCTACTTGTTTACTTCGCTTCCAGTGAGATTATCCCCCCTCACCCCCCCCCCCAAAAAAAAAAAAAAAAACTTTTAGAGCACTTGCGAACTAGCCTTTCTCAAGAGAACTCAGCATCCATCGCTGTCCAATGTGAGCCCTCCAATTACTCGAATTTCAATTCCTTCATCCCATATCCCAACAGAAGTCTAGCTTTGACACTATCACCGGGGATTTTACCATGGGACTAAAGCTAACGTACAACATTTCGATGCCATGACTTCATCAATTTAAGTCGATTAGATGTAGACAGAGCAAAGACCTCGTCAACGTGCAATTTTTCATTGCTCTATAATAAAACCCTTAACTATTTTCTTTACTTTTATTGATTGTCGAAAAACACTTACGGAGAGTTTTTAATTTATTTATATATTAGCAAGTACACACTCTAGAAAATAAAAGTCAACATTGGACTTTTTGCCTAAAAATGAAGTTATGAGGAGCTCTTTACTGGAAGCCTAGCAATCCATCCTTGTTGGTCAATGAAAGTTTTATCCACGAATCGGCGAAGAGCGCTTCCACTCAAACGTTTCATCCAAGGCACTCGTTTTGACTTGTTCGAGCCGGGTCCCCAACATCCCTCCTCCACAAACGTCAGGTCTTGTCTGCAATCCACCTGATTTAGATTCTTATTTGAGAAAATTAATACTAAGAATAAGAAGAATCCAATCGGATGGATGGATGTCTTACACATTATTTTTACCCCTCCAAGGATCCCAACCTGCAGGCGAAACGACGTCGCCGAGATACGAATTGGCAATGATGACTCGAGAGTGTGACCTATAACCTCTCCCAAGGTTAGCCTTCGCCTTGCCATTCCCAGTTATGTTACAATTTTTGAAGACAAACGCACTTGGATCTTCTTCTGATTCCCTTCTGTGTGCAGTGAAAACACCACCCCTTCCTTTGGGAAGATCTGCCCCCACTGAAAAGAAGAGTGTGCATTCCTGCACTTGCACATGCAATATTCAACAACTCATCATTTCATTGCAGAAATTAAAAGGGGTCAAAGAATGCGTCGGTTTGAAACCTCGTAGATAGATTGGCCATTCCCATATATGAAATCAATAGCGCCTTGGATGAAGCACTTGTGAAAGTAATGGCGACCAGCATGGTCACTGAGGGTGTCTTGCACTCCCAGAAAAGCGCATTCAAAGAAAGCGCATTTGTCGCCCTCTATTCTTGCTGCTTCAGCTGGTGCCAGTCTCGCTTCACCGCCATCAAGCGGGTGGTTATGTGAATTCTGACAAAAATACACGCACCAACCAAGTGTTGCATACAAAGTATAAACGTGAACCGTCAAAAAATATATTAGTTGATTTATGAATACTTACCATGAAAGTAATGCCCTTTGCGACAATATTATCTGCTCTTGAAATCAAGGTAGGAGTAGTAAACGGTGTATCGTGGCCATTCCACTCCACAAAAGTTGACTTGCTGCCAGCTCCTTCTAGATATATGCAGCTTTGAAGTCCGGAGATTATGACCTGTTGTCTGCAACGAGCATAGAACAATTCGATTAGAATAGTGGGATGAACGAGTGTATAAAATCGAGGTATTGAAATCAATTTTCTTTATCAAAAATCTCTGTATAGATTTGTACCAAGAAAACACGAAGAAATGTTACCTGTAAACTCCAGGAAAAATCTTGATACGAATCCATCGAGTGTTTTGCGTTTTGTTAGAGACAGAGTCGATTGCGCTTTGAATGGTTTTGAACTGTGCTTTGCCTGATTGCCTAACTGTTATGGTTTTGAGAGGGCCTCTGCAATTGAAGGCTTTACCGACTTCGAAATGAAGTATCAGCAATGTAAAAACGAAAGAAAAGAAGCCTGACAGATTCATCTTATTTTCATCTGCTCTCTAATTCTGCTGGATCTTCCAGGAGGTATTGCAGGGTTTATATTAGAGATCAAATGCTTTTATGGTATAAAATCTTGTATTTTTAAGTCAATCGCATCGTTAAATGAGAGGTTGTTGATCGTAACTGTTTACAAGGCAAATCGCATTAAAACAACGGTAAAAACATACATTAACCCCGATGCATACATTTAGTCCTGTTTTAAAAGACAACTCTTTTAAAATTGAGAAAATTACATATAAATTGTACAAAGTAGACTTATTTATAAATAAATTTTATAAAATTTAAAAACGACATCCACACCAACTTAATGCATCAAGCAAAATAATTGAACATCAATAAATAAATTCATTTATTATTAAATAATGATATATTCTTACATCTCTTGAGAATATAACTACATTATAACAAGAGAACACATGATAATTACATTACAATAAAATAATATATGAGGTGGTGTTCTTTTCTCAAAGCCTTCATTATAACAAGAAAACACATTCTTTTGCTTTAATGGAATGATCTTCTTCAATAGAATTCCTTGCAATTTAGTGAAGACCAATGAGCAGAAATGTTCTCTTTTATGCATCTCATAAATTACAAAGTAACAAATTACATCTAGCAAATTAATGTTCTATTTTAAACAATTTTGACACCAGCCTCAATACATTTTTTAAAAATAGATACATAAATACAAGAATCATAATCTATACTCTAGTTGCCTAAATTTGTAATTGACCAAGAAAGCAATCAATTTGAGGGTTAAGTGTCAACTATATTTGCTCAAATGCAAATAAAGAAAAGAGGGAGTAAAATTACAAGAATGCATTCTCAATTGTCAACTCTAATAATACATCTTTTTGTCTTTTTTCATCATATTGTTGCTGTCTACAAATTGACCAGGAGATGAAACGCTACCACTTGGGTCTACAAATTCATCTTCAACCTAGTAGGATAAACTACAATCTCCACATACATTAAATTATAAGAAATAAAGTGGAGATTTTTCAAGAGACCTAAGTATTTACCCCCAGTAAGTCTAGACCAACTAACTTAAATTTCCATTGAGTACATTGCAATTGATAGAATTAAGAAAGAACAAGCCTGATCAAGAGCAAGCAAAGTAGAGATTAGCAACTTGTTCAAAGGAAGAAAATACAATATTTGAGTAAAACATCGAATTCAAACTTCAAAAACGTGCTAATAAAGGGACAAAATCAATCACATATATTTTTGTGGAATGATTACGAAAAGCCTATTTGCTTTCTTTTTCATAAATCTACAATCAAGAATATCATCAACTATATAGCTCTCAAAAATAAAAATCAACCGTGAGAAAAATAAAAATTGGCCCAAACATGAAGTCAATTCAATGACGGTAAAATCTACAATCATAAGATTTACTTTTTCTTACCAAAGCATCTCTTGCATTTTTAAACTCTGAGATCCATCCCTTGTTGGCATTATGTCTTCCCCCCAGAACTAGGCTAGTCTATTGGTTGGGTGCCCTAAATTAGAACTTAAATCAGTACATTAATTATAAGTAATTAAGGATTAATTTAAAAGGATTATCCTATAAGAGATTAACCTAAACAAGTCATTGACACGTATTTTCACATACTATTTAAAATAAAGGGATCTCAAGTCTTTAAGATAATTAAAAAACTCACATAATTCAATTAAACTTGTGCAGAAGCATGAGATTGATTAAATATTAAAAAACACATCTTAAGATGAGAGAAAACTTCCTCTCTTATTTCCTCTCTGTGCTCTACTCCACATAAAATATACGTACACCAACATAACATTTGACCACTCAAATTTATAACTGATAATGAGGGGTTAAAGTCTCAATCACATTTGTCACGATGATTATCACCTAGTTATCATACTCCGTGTGTGTCATTTATTTATCAATAGCTCATCACATGTATAAATTTTTCTTTTCATTCATATATAGTTAATATCAACTATTCACCCTTGAATATAAAAAACAGAAGGGGAGACCATAATAATATTCAAGTTCTTAAATCATGCATATAATAATTATTTTTACTTGCACAAGTACTTTGGCCCACTAATATAAACACTTCCATCCAACACAAAACCCATAATATAAGTGAATTAAGAATATATTATCGTAGTTAGCAATATCATAAATTGAATACACATATCAAAATAAACAAAGGAAAGCCTATAGAAATGATTATTATCACATGGCCTAATGCTCTCTTTCTCTATTCTTCCTAAATGAGCTAGCTCCTATAACATGTTAAAAGAGAGAGGTAAGTACAATTATTCAGTAACTAAGGTACATCTAAGTTATACAAATGCATGATAATTAATCATGAATGCAAGTAGCTAATAAATTCATCAAGATAACCATGTAAACAATCATATCAAAATTGTGTTAATCATATTAACATCTAACTCATGTGAATAATATTAAGAATAAAGCCAAGTACAAAATTGACACAATTGCCTATAAGCATTGAATGTTCATTTCCACAAATAGTATAAGAATAATGAAATACATGATCAATTTCTTCCTTACACTCCCCTTATTTCTTCTAGCATGAAATTTGTGGGCCAACAACTGAAAGGGATTATCTATATAGTGAGACTACTCAAGGTCTTAATCATCGTGAGGGGCTACTAAATTAGAGTTACCTTACTCACTTATAAACACGATTTCTCTCAAATCACACATTATGAAATGTTATACCTAAGACAAGCATTTACTAAAACTCTAGGTAGGCTAATAGGGTTAAATCTCTTAACAAGAACAATACCACAGTATCCTATAAGGTAAGCAATGCCCATAACCCCTAAGATTAACTATTAATAGTCAAGTACCATATGAATTTTGCACAACCATTAACTCTTTCTCTAAGACAAACTCTCACTATATGATCATACTCATGAGACAATGCATTTTAATAATCCTTATATATGTAATTTACAATTATCTCACATGTTGCTCAATTTCATGCTCAACAAGTATAAAAAATTATCATATCTCACTCATGTCTCATGCATCAATTTTCATGTTACCAGATAAATTACATTAACATTATATGAAAACCCAACATGCTCGTACACAATTTATCACTATATATAATCCATAATTTATAATTAAGAGTATGTACATCATTATCAATCCTCAATCTCATCACTCAAATCATGTTACATTATCCCATGAGAACATAAATTGATATTAACACTCCACATTACAAGCAAACTTTTCTATTTATTTCTTTTTTTCCACATACAGCTATCACATTCAAACTCTTTACATGTGCTACAATTAACTTTATCACAAATTATAAGATCTCAATGAGGCCACCTATGTATTACAAACAATTATTTCAAGATTTGGATATATATATATATATATATTCATTTGTTTCGCAAATATAAATAATTAATTAATACACAAATGCATAAAATAAATTTTTTTTTATTACCTCAACCTTTGAAAAGTCAAAAATTAGTAGATTATCCCTCAAATTAATACTTCCAAAGCTTTTTAAAGCTTGAATGGTGCCAAATAATAATTAATCATATCATAATATATCACTAATATTATTAACACAAGTTTCATTCACAATTCAATACTTAAATATATATTTTTTAAGATCTTAGTTTTAGCCTCTTGAATTTTAAAATCCAATTTTATATATTTAAACCTATCCATTTAGTTCAATAGCTTCTTTCACAATAGTTTGATTAAAGTTTTGACTAAAATCATCCTTCAAATAATTTTTTAATATCAAAATTTTCATTTTTATTTCATAAATTCGCACTTAAAAATACCTAAAAATTACAAACTTAGTCTCAAGTCTAGAATCATCATTTTATAGCTATAATAATTATTTCTCATCTCAAATAATCATCTAAATATCAAAAAATTAACTTATATTGTCATATTTAATCAAAAATCTAATTATAAAAATCTAGGGTTTAATTCAAAAGCCTCAAATTCAAACTACATCAACAACATAATATTTTAAAATATTTAGTATACTACCAACAATCTTAATAACTATATTTATTTATCATAAATTTATTTTCTTTTTAAACCCTAGATTTTTCATAACCCTAAAATCAGAAACTCAAGAGAAAATATGATTAAAAAAATATTTAAGACACTTATATAATTTTAGAATATTTGAAATCTAAGCCAAAATATCTTATTAAAAAGCCTGACTTCGTACTCTCTTGCTCTCTCTGTTTGCAAACAAAGGAAATGAAAAAGGAAAGAGGGGTGTGTTGTTTTTAATTGATTGTAGGCCCCCCGATGTCACTCCCTCTTTCGTTTTTTTTAATTTATATATGCCAAACACACACATCCCTATGGATGTTAATCCATCCCCCATCCCCTTTTTTCTTTTTTTATATCCCCTTTCTTCTTTTTTTATAATAATAATATTATTATTTTTATTTTCTAAAAAAATATAATTTAGGATTTTATTTTAAATTAGATTCAATAATAATTTTTTAATTAAAATTATTTATTTTTAAATATTTCTCTAAAATTACTCATTTGTTCTTGACTAGCTTAATTAATTTTAGATTAAACTTTTGGATGTTATGCAAACCATATAACAAGATAATAACAACAACAATAATTTAATAAAAACTTTCTAATTAACTCCCCAGGCTCTATCACATAAAATTCTTCTATAATGTAGAAAATTTGAGAGCTCGAGCACTGAAGTTTAAGCATGTTTGTTCTTGAAGACATATATAGGTTTATCTATCTATGAAGAAATGTCCATGCTAATATACTGGTGATAATAATGTACTTGTAGCACAAGTAATCCTTAAGTTTAAGGTGACTAGATAATGTTGAGATTATGAAAAAAAGGTGTCCATGCCTGAGGATATCTTATCATATTATAGAATTCTAGTGGGATTGAGATTTTTGGAATTCATATTGAGATTTTATAAGGATTTTGTGATTGGTTTTTTCAAAAGTGAGCCCAAAGTCTGTCTTGAGAAAAAT